TATATCTTATGTAAGAGAAGGTGTATGCCCCTGAAATAAACCCCACATTATTCCAGAGTAAAGTGATTCACTTTTAACTTGAGTCCTTATAACTTTCTTGCGTTATTGGGTACACCCCAAAATGCATTAAAATGAAACCAGAGTTGATTATGACAGTAATCAATCACTGACAGTAAACAATATACTGTTTCCTCACCAGGTGGAAACACTGATATCTCACAGGTTACTCCACAGACGTCCTATGCACGTGAGACCACCAATTCATCCCATTCTACTGTCAGAGACACACAGCTGACAACATCAGAGAGGACGAAAGCCCAACCCTCCACAAACACCACACTGACTAACATAGAGGACACCTCACTCTCTGCAAAAATATCCACTCCACCCACCTCAGCACTCTCAGAGACAACTCAAGGACATGGAAACACAACAGCATCCTCTTCCAGCACCTCCACTCAGGGTACACCAGCTTCTTCCCAGACCCACTTCACAGACAGCACTGGCACCACCAGGAAAGCAGAGACCAGCATGGTCACTGGAGGGAGCACAACAGCCCTCCCTTCCATCACCACACGTGATAACGATTCCAGAGAGGCACACGTTCAAAACACAGGCAGAGGATGACAGGTCCCTTCCACTTACCCACACGTACACACGGAGGACACCTCACTCTCTGAAACTACAACTTCCACTCCACCCACCTCAGCACTCTCAGAGACAACCCAAGGACATGGAAACACAACAGCATCCTCTTCCAGCACCTCTACTCAGGATACACCAGCTTCTTCCCAGAACCACTTCACCGACAGCACTGGCACCTCCAGGAAAGCAGAGACCAGCATGGTCACTGGAGGGACCACAACAGCCCCTTCATCCTCACCAGGTGGAAACAATGTTACTTCACAGGTTACTCAGGACAAGCCCTATGCACGTGAGACCACCACTTCATCCCATTCTACTGTCAGAGACACACAGCTGACAACATCAGAGAGGACGACAGTTCCACCCTCCACATACACCACACCTACTAACAGAGAGGACACCTCACTCTCTGCAACTACAACTTCCACTCCAGCCACCTCAGCACTCTCAGAGACAACTCAAGGACATGGAAACACAACAGCATCCTCTTCCAGCACCTCTACTCAGGATACACCAGCTTCTTCCCAGAACCACTTCACGGACAGCACTGGCACCTCCAGGAAAGCAGAGACCAGCACGGTCACTGGAGGGAGCACAACAGCCCCTTCATCCTCACCAGGTGGAAACAATGTTACTTCACCGGTTTCTCCAGAGAGGCCCTATGCCCGTGAGACCTCCACTTCATCCCATTCTACTGTCAGAAACACACAGCTGACAACATCAGAGAGGATGACAGGTCCACCTTCCACTTACACCACACGTACTAACACAGAGGACACCTCACTCTCTGCAACTACAACTTCCACTCCAGCCACCTCAGCACTCTCAGAGACAACTCAAGGACATGGAAACACAACAGCATCCTCTTCCAGCTCCTCTACTCAGGATACACCAGCTTCTTCCCAGAACCACTTCACCGACAGCACTGGCACCTCCAGGAAAGCAGAGACCAGCATGGTCACTGGAGGGACCACAACAGCCCCTTCATCCTCACCAGGTGGAAACAATGTTACTTCACCGGTTACTCCAGAGAGGCCCTATGCACGTGAGACCTCCACTTCATCCCATTCTACTGTCAGAGACACACAGCTGACAACATCAGAGAGGACGACAGTTCCAACCTCCACATACACCACACCTACTAACACAGAGGACACCTCACTCTCTGCAACTACAACTTCCACTCCAGCCACCTCAGCACTCTCAGAGACAACTCAAGGACATGGAAACACAACAGCATCCTCTTCCAGCACCTCTACTCAGGGTACACCAGCTTCTTCCCAGACCCACTTCACGGACAGCACTGGCACCTCCAGGAAAGCAGAGACCAGCATGGTCACTGGAGGGAGCACAACAGCCCCTTCATCCTCACCAGGTGGAAACAATGTTACTTCACAGGTTACTGCAGAGACACCCTATGCACCTGAGACCACCACTTCATCCCATTCTACTGTCAGAGACACACAGCTGACAACATCAGAGAGGACGACACTTCCACCCTCCACATACACCACACTTACTAACACAGAGGACACCTCACTCTCTGCAACTACAACTTCCACTCCAGCCACCTCAGCACTCTCAGAGACAACTCAAGGACACGGAAACGCAACAGCATCCTCTTCCAGGACCTCAACTCAGGGTACACCAGCTTCTTCCCAGACCCACGTCACGGACAGCACTGGCACCTCCAGGAAAGCAGAGACCAGCATGGTCACTGGAGGGAGCACAACAGCCCCTTCATCATCACCAGGTGGAAACAATGTTACTTCACAGGTTACTCCAAAGACACCCTATGCACCTGAGACCACAACTACATCCCATTCTACTGTCAGAGACACACAGCTGACAACATCAGAGAGGATGACAGTTCCACCCTCCACATACACCACACTTACTAACACAGAGGACACCTCACTCTCTGAAACTACAACTTCCACTCCAGCCACCTCAGCACTCTCAGAGACAACTCAAGGACATGGAAACACAACAGCATCCTCTTCCAGCTCCTCTACTCAGGATACACCAGCTTCTTCCCAGACCCACTTCACAGACAGCACTGGCACCACCAGGAAAGCAGAGACCAGCCTCGTCACTGGAGGGAGCACAGCAGCCCCTTCATCATCACCAGGTGGAAACAATGTTACTTCACAGGTCACTCAGGAGAAGTCCCATGCAGGTGAAACCACCACTTCATCCCATTCTACTGTGAGAGACACACAGCTGACAACATCAGAGAGGACGAGAGTTCCAACCTCCACATACACTACACCTACTAACACAGAGGACACCTCACTCTCTGAAACTACAACTTCCACTCCAGCCACCTCAGCACTCTCAGAGACAACTCAAGGACATGGAAACACAACAGCATCCTCTTTCAGTACCTCTACTCAGGATACACCAGCTTCTTCCCAGACCCACGTCACGGACAGCACTGGCACCACCAGGAAAGCAGAGACCAGCCTCGTCACTGGAGGGAGCACAGCAGCCCCTTCATCATCACCAGGTGGAAACAATGTTACTTCACAGGTCACTCAGAGAAGCCCTATGCACCTGAAACCACAACTTCATCCCATTCTAGTGTCAGACAAACACAGCTGGCAACATCAGAGAGGATGACAGCTCCACCCTCCACAAACACCACACCTACTAGCACAGAGGACACCTCAATCTCTGCAACTACAACTTCCACTCCAGCCACCTCAGCACTCTCAGAGACAACTCAAGGCCATGCAAACACAACAGCAACCTCTTCCAGCACCTCTACTCAGGGTACACCAGCTTCTTCCCAGAACCACTTCACCGACAGCACTGGCACCACCAGGAAAGCAGAGACCAGCCTGGTCACTGGTGGGAGCACAATAGCCCCTTCATCATCACCAGGTGGAAACAATGTTAGTTCACAGGTCACTCAGGAGAAGTCCTATGCAGGTGAAACCACCACTTCATCCCTTTCTAGTGTCAGAGACACACAGCTGACAACATCAGAGAGGATGACACTTCCACCCTCCACATACACCACACCTACTAACAGAGAGGACACCTCACTCTCTGCAACTACAACTTCCACTCCAGCCACCTCAGCACTCTCAGAGACAACTCAAGGACATGGAAACACAACAGCATCCTCTTTCAGTACCTCTACTCAGGATACACCAGCTTCTTCCCAGACCCACGTCACGGACAGCACTGGCACCACCAGGAAAGCAGAGACCAGCCTCGTCACTGGAGGGAGCACAGCAGCCCCTTCATCATCACCAGGTGGAAACAATGTTACTTCACAGGTCACTCCAGAGAAGCCCTATGCACGTGAAACCACAACTTCATCCCATTCTACTGTCAGACACACACAGCTGACAACATCAGAGAAGATGATAGCTCCACCCTCAATAAACAGCACACTTATTAGCACAGAGGACACCTCAATCTCTGCAACTACAACTTCCACTCCAGCCACCTCAGCACTCTCAGAGACAACTCAAGGCCATGCAAAGACAACAGCAACCTCTTCCAGCACCTCCACTCAGGATCCACCAGCTTCTTCCCAGACCCACTTCACAGACAGCACTGGCACCACCAGGAAAGCAGAGACGAGCATGGTCACTGGAGGGAGCACAACAGCCCCTTCATCATCACCAGGTGGAAACAATGTTACTTCACAGGTCACACAGGAGAAGCCCTATGCAAGTGAAACCACCACTTCATCCCATTCTACTGTCAGAGACACACAGCTGACAACATCAGAGAGGACGACAGTTCCAACCTCCACATACACCACACCTACTAACACAGAGGACACCTCACTCTCTGCAACTACAACTTCCACTCCAGCCACCTCAGCACTCTCAGAGACAACTCAAGGACATGGAAACACAACAGCATCCTCTTCCAGCTCCTCTACTCAGGATACACCAGCTTCTTCCCAGACCCACTTCACGGACAGCACTGGCACCTCCAGGAAAGCAGAGACCAGCATCGTCACTGGAGGGAGCACAGCAGCCCCTTCATCATCACCAGGTGGAAACAATGTTACTTCACAGGTCACTCAGGAGAAGTCCTATGCAGGTGAAACCACCACTTCATCCCATTCTACTGTCAGACAAACACATCTGGCAACATCAGAGAAGATGATAGCTCCACCCTCAATAAACAGCACACTTATTAGCACAGAGGACACCTCAATCTCTGCAACTACAACTTCCACTCCAGCCACCTCAGCACTCTCAGAGACAACTCAAGGCCATGCAAACACAACAGCAACCTCTTCCAGCACCTCCACTCAGGATCCACCAGCTTCTTCCCAGACCCACTTCACAGACAGCACTGGCACCACCAGGAAAGCAGAGACGAGCATGGTCACTGGAGGGAGCACAACAGCCCCTTCATCATCACCAGGTGGAAACAATGTTACTTCACAGGTCACACAGGAGAAGCCCTATGCAAGTGAAACCACCACTTCATCCTATTCTACTGTCACAGACACACAGCTGACAACATCAGAGAGGACGACACTTCCACCCTCCACATACACCACACTTACTAACACAGAGGACACCTCAATCTCTGCAACTACAACTTCCACTCCAGCCACCTCAGCACTCTCAGAGACAACTCAAGGACACGGAAACACAACAGCATCCTCTTCCAGGACCTCAACTCAGGGTACACCAGCTTCTTCCCAGACCCACTTCACGGACAGCACTGGCACCACCAGGAAAGCAGAGACCAGCATCGTCACTGGAGGGAGCACAGCAGCCCCTTCATCATCACCAGGTGGAAACAATGTTACTTCACTGGTTACTGCAGAGACGCCCTATGCACCTGAGACCACAATTTCATCCAATTCTACTGTGAGAGACACACAGCTGACAACATCAGAGAGGACGACAGTTCCAACCTCCACATACACTACACCTACTAACACAGAGGACACCTCACTCTCTGCAACTACAACTTCCACTCCAGCCACCTCAGCACTCTCAGAGACAACTCAAGGACATGGAAACACAACAGCATCCTCTTCCAGCACCTCTACTCAGGATACACCAGCTTCTTCCCAGAACCACTTCACCGACAGCACTGGCACCTCCAGGAAAGCAGAGACCAGCATGGTCACTGGAGGGAGCACAACAGCCCCTTCATCCTCACCAGGTGGAAACAATGTTACTTCACACATCACTGAGGAGAAGCCCTATGCAGGTGAAACCACCACTCCATTCCATTCTACTGTCAGAGACACACAGCTGACAACATCAGAGAGGACGACAGTTCCACCCTCCACATACACCACACTTACTAACACAGAGGACACCTCACTCTCTGCAACTACAACTTCCACTCCAGCCACCTCAGCACTCTCAGAGACAACTCAAGGACATGGAAACACAACAGCATCCTCTTCCAGCACCTCTACTCAGGGTACACCAGCTTCTTCCCAGAATCACTTCACGGACAGCACTGGCAACTCCAGGAAAGCAGAAACCAGCATGGTCAGTGGAGGGAGCACAACAGCCTCTTCATCCTTACCAAGTGGAAAGAATATTACTTCTTGGGTCACTCAGGAGATGCCCTATTCAGGTGAGACTACCACCTCATTTCTTTGTAGTGACAGGCACAAACATATCTTCTCTTCTGAAATGATGATAGTTCCAAATCAGAACAACTGCCTTTTGGGTGGATAGAGGATATGTCACTGTTTGTAAGTATGACTTTTAGTGCACTCCCCTCAGCCGTCTCAGACAGAACTGAAGTAAATAGAAACACAACAGCTCCATCTCTCCAGTCTTCTGGTCAGGACACAGCTGCATGTTTTCTGAGTCAGTACCGGGAGAGCAATGAGACCACCAAAGAATCACAAACCATCATCCTCACAGATATGAGCATTTCAGGTCCTTCTTACCCATCAGTGGAAGCACTGTTACTCAGGAGTCATTCTATGTAGGTCAGACATCCACTACATACCATTCTCATATCAGCCACACACCACCAACAACTTCTCTAATGGTGGTAGCCCCTGTTCAGCTCACACCAGTTTTGGGAAATATAGAGGACATGTTACTTTCTTTAACTATAGCTTTCACTCCATTCACCTCAGGAGTCTCAGAGAACACTGATATAAATGAACTAGCAATAGCATCCTCTTTCACCATCTCTAGTTTGTACACATCAGTATTTTTTTTCATGACCATACAACTCAGAGCATGGAGATCCACAGGGAATCTCCAACCAGTGGTAGCTCAGCAATTGCACTCCTTTGTCTTCCACAAGTGAACACACTTTTACAGAAGGCATTTCTCAGGATAGTACCACTACTGATCAAACAATCACTTTATTTATTTCCAATGTCAGCATTACATCTCTGACATCATCAGATATTTCAACAACTGCAATTTCCACCTATACCACTGTAAGAAACACAATGTACATACCACAACCTGCAAGTAAAAGTATTAGTGCAGTCACCTTAGCAGTATCAGTGACAACTGGACTAGAGGGACAACCCAAAGCTTCCTCCTTCAGTGCAGCTACTCAGGACACACCTGCATCTTCTCAGAACTATTGGACTGAAGTCATGGAAACCACTGTGGAACCTGAATTCAGTGCAATCACAGTAGTGGGCACGTAAACTCCTTTCTTTTTACCAAGTGAACATACTCTGTCTGGGAGCATTTCTCTGGCAACCTCCTCTTTTGGTAAAACAACTTCTTCATCTTCCTTCAGTGTCAGCAACACAGTTCTGTCAACATCTGAAATGTTGACAGCACCAACCTCAAAGTATACTACAGTAAATAATACCAGGGAGGCATCACTATCTGTATCTAGAAGTTTTCTTTCATTCACTTCTAAAGTTTCTACAACATGGGAGTCTGATGTACTGTCAACAGCCACTCTCTATCAGTTCTTCAAATCCAAAATTATCCACAGTTTTCCACATCCACCAGAACAAAGGCACAAAGACAATGGGATGGCCACATAACAGCAGCTCATACTTTACAGATATTTTTTCATGAAACATTCACTGCCAGTGAAACAACAACCCTCCTTCATCTTTCATTGATAGCCATGTCACTCAGTCACAAAAAGAACTCTTGTCAACACCAATAGCTGCCACTATACTGGTCACAGAAAACATACCTACTTCTACAGCTAACACAATTTCCTGGGTTATTTCTAAAGTCTCAATAATAGGTGAATGGGGAGAGCTAACCACATACCCCTATTTGAGCATATCTCCTCAGGAGACACTTTCCATAGCACATTCCCAGACTCACTGGTGACAAGGCACAGGGACAACTGTAGATATTCATGTCAGAAGGACAGGCTCCAGTGTGACTCAAACCACCAAAACAGTCAAATCTGCATCTCCTTCATCCATACCAAGTAGACACTCATCTAAATAATCTGTAACAATAGGCCCGACAAGGCAGTTAGTATCACTCTCTACCACCACTTCTCCTCAAGAATCATCAATTATTCCCCAGATAGATCACACTCAAGGCACACAGACCACACAAGAATCACAAACCATAAGTTTAGTCTCTCCCATGACAAACACAATCAAGACAGTCAAATCTGCAACTTCTTCATTCAAACCAACTGGACATTCATTCTCAGAAAATGTTCCTCAGGACACATCCAATGCAGGTGAAGTGACATTCACCCCGGCACCCTTCAGGGAAAGTCACACAACTCAGGTCACTGCTCCTACCACAGAATTGTGGACAGCTCCAAGCAGCCCTGACACCATCCTGGGAACCTTAGGAGACATGTCATTTTCCATAACAAGTACCATCCCTCAGCCCACCTCTGTAGTGTCTACACTGACAGGCCCAGGAGGACCATCAAACATTTCCTGTGACCAGAACCTCACCTGACACAACATCAGCCATTTTCCAGACCCACCGGTTTCAAGACATGGTGACCACTAGGGAACCGCTCACCAGCACAATGGCCTCTTTGGTGATGGAAACCACTTTGGTGGGCATAGCTACAGGTTCTTCCTCCACTGTACGTAACCAAACAACTTCAGGAAGTGCTTCCCCAGAAACATTCATCTCAGTTAAGGTCAAGAGTTTCTCTACAACTTCCTCCAGGGAAAGCTACACAACTCAGTCTACAACTGAATTGTCCACTGCAACCAGTCATGAGACTACTCTAGGAACCATGGGAATCATGCCGACTATTCTCCCCAACACCATTTCTGCCATCATCTCTGAGGTCTCAACAACTGGGAGACCAACAAGACAGTCAACCCCAACTTCTCCCAGCACCTCTCCTCAGGGAACATCAGCTATTTCCAAGATAGCTCAGATTCAAAGTACAGGAACCACTGAGGGATCTGGAACTATCACTTCCACCCCCCAGAGGACTAACACCTTCTCAACAGTCACAGTTCCATTCACATAAAATATGCACACATTTCCACAAACTGTTACCCATACTCTGTCACCTTGAAGGACCAGCACAACAATCATCTCAAACCCAGTCAGAGGCAGCCACAGGACCCAAACAACAATGCCAACTTTGTCATTTAGGGCAACTGAAAGGCTAACTACAGTCAGTTCTACCACCCTGAGTGATGTAGCCTCTTGTTCTTCTTTCACTACTTTGTCCAGAAGTGGAGAAGTTCTGACAACAACCTCGAACTCACTCATCCATGAAAACATGACCACAGTGGTCATTCCCACCGTAGATTCTGGCAGTAACTCCTTGACAAATACCATGCAAGTCCCAACATCCTCAGTGAGCAAGTCAAGCACACCCACCCCTGAGCATCCTGCAACTGTTCAAATGGTAGCCTCCACTACCAACTCTACTACAAGGCCAACATATATGGGTTCTATGAGTAATCACAACAGCATAGCTGGATCCACACTGACTTTGTCATTTACACATACAACTTACCCTTTAATCAAGACCACCCCTGATACCTCTTCAGCATCTAAGTATTCTAAGACTATATCGCCTACACTACAGACATTAACAGGCTATGCTTTCTCTGACTACTTCTATGAACAAAGCCCAGACCATGCCAATTTTCTGTACTTCAACCAGTAATTCTTTATTCTCTCAAGCAGCCCCTGGCCCTGCAGTCACCTGGAACTCCACCACCATATTCACAGTTCATCCCACACTTCTATCTGGTATCAGCACTTTCTCAACATCCACAGCACCCTCAAGCTCCACTGTGAAGACTGAGACATCAGGTAGGAGGGGACCCCAGTGTCTTGGCCTCTTACTCAATATGGCCCCATCTGCTCAGTCTGGCCTAGAAGAGTGCTTGAGAGAGGATGGTGAGTTAACAATACCAGGTTATTGTTAACCTGGTTAGGACTGAGGTGAGGTTCACAGAGGATGAAGTGGATGGGGGTGTGGTGGGTGACAAGGTCACCATTCTCTCTGCCCCACCAGACACCTGCTTACCTGCAGGGAGTGGTTTGGGTATGATCAGAAGAAAGACAGAAAGGTTGCTAGTTGTCTCTTCCAGTTCTTTAAGTCTGTGACTCTTTTTGACTCTGCTACTCTGTGACTGTAAGACCCATTCCAGTCTTCTCTCCCTCCATGCCAGGAGCAATCACAACCTCACTGAGGACAGCCAGCAAGAGAAGCACAGCAACATCAGTACCCTCAACAACTTCCCAGGCCCTTATAACCTCAACTCCCAGCACATCCACAGGCACACACTCAACAGTTACCTCAGTCCCTATCAATCCCAAGAAAGGTAAGTGACACCACAGAGCTGGGACTTTTCTGCCCTGATATGGAGAGGATTGAGCTAGATGTGGAGCTTGTAGTTGTGGCAGCTGGACTGGAGCTACCAAAGAAGGCCCCTGTGGTAAGTTCTGTGGATATCTTCACTGCTCCTTTTGGGCCATGGGAAATCAAGCTTCTCCTCATGTCTTCACTATAGGATGATGTAATTGAATGCTCAGTCTCAGCCTGCTTGCTCCTAGATTCTGCTCTTTCATGTCAGAAGGGCCTCACAGGGAACAATGAGACAGCATCAGAGCTGGGTGCTGAGGGCTGGCTTTGTACATGGCACTGGAGTAGGAGGAGGTGAAGATAGAGAAGTGATCAAGGTGCTGTCCAGCAAGAGACAGGTCTGCTGCCTCACTAGGTGCAATTACAGGAATAAACCCAGAGTATTAGGCACAGACAATGAAGGGCCCCTAAGGGATGTGGGGGTGGGTTCAAGGTGATAAGGAGGCTTCCTAAAAAGAATTAATAGGAGCTGGGGAAGAGGAACACTCCAAGCCAGCAGGAGGGCCTGAACAGCTGGAATAAAGGTATAGATGTGAAAAACAGTCTCAGTATAGCATGGGGAGAAGATCCCCAAAGCATGGAGGGGGGTTGCTGGAAGTAAGGTGAAGAGTATTGAGAAGCGAGGCTGTGATGTAAGGGAGTCTTATGGATAATGGGAATCAGGGAATGTGTGGCTGGATTTTCATTTACAAATGGTGCTATGGTGGCTGGGGTAGAGGATGGATTCACAGGCCAGGAGAGCGATGTAGAGATTGTTGTGAATTCCAAGCAACACCAGGTGAGTATGGAAAGGAGACTCATTTGAGAAATGTTTAGGACAGAGTTTCTCAAACCACCCAAGGACCTCTAGGGGGTCCTAGAACAAGTTCTAGGGCATCTTCAAGTTTATACAGAGAAATACCATCTCAGGAAATGTCTCATTCTATGAAGTGATCTTTCAAGTACTCAACTGCACTGCATTGGAGGAGTTTTGTCTTTCCCCCTTTAAAACAATTATGAGTACCATAACAGATGCAGAATAATTTGTTGGTATTCTGACAGCAGGACTTGATTTTGTCCAAGCTGGGGAAGAATGACAATATCAGTTTAAAGAGTAAAGTGAGGAGATGGGTTGAACACAAGTGGAAAAGTGGAAAGAGGACAACTTGATGGCTCCTAGTTAGGGGAACAGAAGACAGGGTAGAGGAGGAGCTGGGGAAACACTCTGGGGATCCCTGTCAGCCAGAATAAAGTGGGAGCCTATGAGAACTTCCTGCTTTTTTTTTCTTTTGGTCCAGGTGTTTCCCTCTTTCCCTACGGGCCACACGTTAGAGACCAGGAGTTTATCAGGAGGAGAGTAGACTTCACCTCGCCGCTCTTCAAGCCCCAGATTGGCTTCCCTTTCGGCTCCTCTCTCCGAGATTTCCTCTATGTAAGTCCCTGGCTGCAGCCCAAAGAGAAGGATTTGAGACCTGTGTTCCCTGGGCTCTGGTTCACTCTCCAATGCTTCAAGATGGCCCTGTGACTGTGACCATGATCCTGATGGAAAGGAAGGGAGAATGAAAGCAACACTTGTTAGGCACCTACTGTATCTCTGCCTCTGGCTCAGTTTGCATGCACAGTATTTAATAGCAGAGCATCAGCCAAGGCAGACAGTGAGCCAGGCAAGGCTTGCCTAGCCACATGAGCAAAAGTGTCTACCACAGTAAAGAGATCCCAGGGCCCAGTAAGCTCTCTACCATTTCTTCAGGGCCCTTTTTATAAACAGAAAGCTCCATTTGGGAAAGAACTGTTTGGTGCTGTTTACATTGTTTGTAATTCTATGAAAGTGATGGAATGAGGGTTTCAGTCATTTAGCCCCATCTGTTGTGGCACCAGCTTCAGGATGGGGCCCAAGGGATTTACCCAGAAGAGTCTGTTCTGTGACAAGCTGGTCTATAGATGGTGCTGCTGTTGAGACCAGACAAAACCTAGCACCTTAGGAAGAACTTCAGGAGCAATGTCCTGAGGGTGAAGCATATTCGGGTGAGAATTAGGAAAAGTGGCTCTCCCAGCAGGCAGGGGGATGGATGACGCGACCTTCCAGAGGTTACTGACACACCTGAAGTGCTACCTAGTGAGGCCCTTGGGGGTCATACTTCTGAGGAGCTGTGGCTAGGCTGCTCTGCCTCCCTCCTTGAATGCTAACTGGAAGAACCTTTGTCCCCAGTTCACAGATAATGGTCAGATCATTTTCCCGGAATCAGAGTACCAGATTTTCGCCTACCCCAACCCTCCCCTTAGAGGCTTCACGGACAGGGACCAGCTGGCCATTGTGGCTCCATTCTGGGGCGATGCTGATTTCTCCAGCCACCAGGGAACCATATTTTACCAGGTGGGCCTTTCAAAGTATGGCATGCAGAATCTCCCAGAAGTGAGAGACAAAGGGCTGTGTGGAAGGTGGTGCACGAGTTACTGCTGTCAGAGCCGGGCTTGGTTTGGACAGGGATTGGTGCTTAAATATGAGAGTGGGGAGGAAGCGGGTCAGGACTATTATACAAACTCAAGAATACCCAGACACAACCGTGAGAAGGTCTGCAGGTGACAGGGATGGGGGTTGGCAATCCAGGGTTCTAGTTTAGAATAAGGTTGTAGGGGTCTTGCCTACCAAGCCTGAGTCAAGCAGGGCCCCTGCGTGAGCTCCTGGATCAGGTTAATGATTCCAGTTGCTGGGAGCAGGTAACAAAAGCTCCTGCAGATGAATGTAGGCTGTGCGCCTGCCTTAGACAAAGTACTGGAGAAGGTCCAAAGATGGAGAAACACATGCCTGTCCTCAAGGGGCCTTCGGTTGGACCTGGGGAGGTTCAAATAGGCACAGGTGGTTAATGCTGTCAGAGCCAATTTGTGCTAAGAGATGCACGAGTTCAGGTCCATAAGACTTAGGTTCCTGGGCCTTGACTCTCCACTCCACACACCCCAGGCTTCCCTGCTGCCCAATATGAATTGATCTTAAGGTCTAAGGAGCTACCTGAAAATGTAGGTCTGGAGGAGGGAAGGATGCCATATGTGGGTAGACTAAGGTGAACAGCATCACCATGTAGAAATTGGGGTCCTTTGGGAGTATTGAGCTGGGACCCTCATTTTCTTGTCCTTATCTGCCTGCCTTTCCTAGGAATATGAGACGCTCTATGATGACTACAAACCACTTGTAGTCCAGCAGGTGGAATCTTGGATTGAAAAGTTTACAAATACCTGGAACTACAAAGCCAGGTGGACCCTAAAGGTTACATGGGTCAATGCCTCTGCTTATCCTTCCCAGTGGACCTATGGGGTGAGTGGACTGATGGACAGCTCCCTGTGAAGCACCTGGAAATCAGACAGGGGCCAGTCTTCTAAAACCCTCTCTGACTCAAGGACAGATTGCTGATTATAGCGCTCCTGCCCACCCCCACCTTGATGCTGAGCACTTACCATGTACCAGGCTGCCCCAACACTTTACATTTGTGAGCTCAGCAGCCCAGATCACTGGATATTAGGAGGCCGAAATTTAGGAAATGGAATTTTTGTAAGTCAAAATAGCTGGCTATTGGCAATTTGATATGGCTCAACCTGATAATATTATCCGTATTTTAGAGATGAGAAAGATAATATTTAGAGAGGTTAAGCAACTTGTACAAGGTCAGCCAGCTAGCAAATAACAAAGCCAGGCCCAGAACCAAGGTTCTTCTGACTTCGAATGCTGGCTCTCAGCCATAAGCCCTCCAATGGCAAGGGGCACACCACATAACCCCCTGGTCTTCCCTCTGGGGATGCATAGCTCTTACAGTCAGAAGTTCTTCCTTGTGTCCCGTCTAAAGTCACTTGTCTCTTCACTGGTTCAACAAGTTCATTGATTACCTACTTCATACAAGCACGGTGCTTGGCATTTGCCTTCAGAGAACCTCCAGTCTCACCTGCTGTGGTTCTCCCCACCATTCAGGTTGAGGGGACATTTGCACAATGTTCTTAAATGTCCCTGAGGAAGCTACATAGGCCTCTCCCAGCTCTCTGGTGTCTTGGCTAATTTCTCAGGTTCCTGGTTCTGTCTTATATGAATTGTCTTCCAACTGATTTCTAACCCAGAGCCTCTTATGGCCCCTTCCTGCAAAGAAGTCACAAAGAAGGCAAATCTACCATGGTAGGTGCTTTGACACCAAGAGTGAAAGTTGTCCTACACTCTCCCAAACTTGTCAGCATGTTAAGCCCATGCCTTTCCTCCAGGTGGGCCAGGAAAAGGTGGTGTGTGCATCGAGGCACGGGTGCGGGATGAATGATGGGACATCGGGGATGACATTGCAGCTCTCTCTCATAGGCACCTCTTTGTTTGTCTCCAACCAACCCCCAGACCAGCACCTACCAGGCCATCCTCTCCACAGACGGAAGCAGATCCTTTGCCCTGTTTCTCTACCAAAGTGGTGGGATGCAGTGGGATATGACCCAGCACCCAGGCAACTGGGTCCTCATGGGCTTCTCCAGGTAGGACAGGGAGGGAGGGGCTGTCAGCACTAAGCAAATAATAGGAAATGGTGCAGAGCAGTGTTTTTGCCGCAGACATATTCCCATACCCCAGGACCAGGCTGATTCCTCATCGCTGATGCTTCTGACTCACCCTGGTGCTACTTCCCATTAAAAGATTCTATTTCTTGCTGTTTCACATGAAAAGATCTCTATTCACTGCCATTGTCTTTCCTCCCCCAGAACTTATGCAATATAATAATTCCCAGAGCTTTGATCTCTCGGATTTCTGCTGATGTTAGCTGACCTCTCTTAACTTCTCAAATATCATAATAATGGTAGCAAATAGGTATTGTACTAAGTACTTAACATGCATTATTTCATTTAATTATCACAACTCCATGAAAGAGATACCACTTATTACCCATTCTACAGATAAGGAAACTGAGGTACAAATAGATTAGTAATTGCCCAAAGTCACAGAGCTGGGAAGTGACAAAACAGGAATTTGAACTCAACAGCTGAGGCCGAAATCTGCCTTCCTGCTTTCTGGTGCCTCTGGTGGAGAATTAACTCCTCCTCCCCCAGGGCCATCAGTAGCTGGTGTGGGGTCACTGGGAAAGGTGTAGAGCAGGAGGGAGAGAGCTGTAGAGGAGGATGTGTGTTCCTACGTGTGAAGGTGGCTTAGTCTCTGACACAGCAGTTCTCAACCGTGGTATTTCTCAGTGCTGGTGTGTGTAATCAGTTGTGAACGTCCATGTAATTTGTTACTGGTAATTGCTGCAAATGATTTTCTCTTAGAGGGTGTTCAGGATTGTCCCTATAATTGTATGGCTTTTACTTTTTTAATGTTTGTGAAGGAGAAAGGAGTGGAATTATACAACTGTCTAGGAATTTCACACCATTCTGAGTGTGCCTGACCCCTTGCCCAAGGTGTCAAGCCTGCGTGAGTCACCCATCTGTGTCAGAAAAGAGTAGAAGATTAGGAGCCACTGCTCTGCAGTGAGGCTGCAGGCTTCTTGCTGGATTTTCTCCTACCTGGAGTGGAGAGATTTGAACCCCACCCCTGGGGGCATGGGGGCGGTACCCCTATTGCACCAGGTAACTGGGATTTGTAAATCCCAGTTCTGAGGGATTTACAAATGTTACATTTTATCTTTGCAATACTGCAAGGCAGATGCTACTGTAATGTCTTTTACACAGATGTGAAAACTAAGAATTGAAGAAGTTAAGTAACTTGCCCATGTTTACCACACTACTAAGGGTTGGAATCAAGAATTGAACTCATGACTGCCTAACTTCAGAGACTGGCTCATAACCTAACTATCCCAACATGCTGTCCCCACCGATTCCCAGTTGAAGGGAAACAAACCTGCAGAAGGCCTGAACTCTGATGTTTTCACACCCCTGCCTCATAACCAGTTTCTGGTGTGTTACTGATCAGATGTGGAATGAATTAGTCTCCCCACCCACCTCTTCCCCTTTCCTGCTTGGTGGGAATCAGTGATTCTGGCTGGCTGACTGACCAGCTCATTGAATAATTGCCTGACCAGCCAATAGCTGATGACTAGTTGGACTGAGTGAGTGACTGACCGGCTGACTGGCCTAATGAATAACTTGCCAACTGTGTGTGACAGAGGCCTACAATTCTTTCCTTTGCCTGCAGTGGAGATGGTTATTATAAAAACAGCCCGCTGACATTCCAGCCAGCGTGGGAGAGGTATCGTCCAGACCAATTTCTGAATTCCAACTCAGGTAAAAAGTGCCACCTAATCACACTTGAGCTAGACAAATCCTCTTCTGTCCTCTGCATTGTGGGCCATGACAGTCCTAGAGGGGCATGTCCACCATTCTGCAGGTGTCCCCAGTATAAACCAACCTCCCACAGATGTAATAAGCCCTTGGCACTGCCCAGGGAGCAGCCGGTAGCCCGGCTGGAACTTTGTCTCCTTCCTGGGATGAGCCAAACCAAGAAGGTCTCTCAGTGGGGGGTCCAAATTCTGGAAGAGAGGACAGGGATATGGCAGGGTATAAGAATGTGAATGGGGTAGTTGGGACAATACTCCAAGTGTCCTGTCCCAGAAATGGAATGTGAATCCACATGAGATTCCTTAAGGGAATCTACAGAGGAAGAGGTCCGACGTTCATTTAGTCATTATTTAACTGAGCACCTGCTACGTGCTGGACACTGTGTGAGAACCAAGAATATGAAACAAGAGGGAAAAGACTGACTATGTTTGCTCTCAAAGAACTCTCATTCTGGTAAAGAAGGCTAGTACTTTAGTGTCAGGAAGAAGCCCATTGCGCTTCCTTCATGACTCAGTGTACTATCTGGAGGCCCCAAAGGGAAAGAAAGTATCATTTACAAAATGAGAAAGAACAAAGAACATTTTAGCATTAGAAATCAGCCATGTAAATTGTGAAGCATAAATCTGGTTCTGTTTGTTCTGTGGCAAGAACTTTCGGTAAACAGAAGCTAAGTCAAATCATGAGCGCCATCTTGTGGAGAATGCTGTCCAGTTGGATTAGGGCCCTTCTATCAAGATGCATGGACTTGTGACCTAAGGGGTGCACTACAATAGAGAGATGGGTGTGTGTGTGTGTGTGTGTGTGTGTGTGTGTGTGCGCGTGCGCGTGTGCGTGTGTGTGTGCGTGTGTGTGTGTGTTTTGGAGAGAGTATCTGATGTTTTCCCTGATACCAGGTGATTGTGGAGAAGATACATGAACAGATAATCAAACAATGATTATTCTTTTCAAAGCCTTGACAAATTGTAATTATTTTGATAGTTACTTCTTATGTGTGAGTACAGGGTAAAGATCTAATGTCCTATCATATCTTACTGGACTCTGGAGCCCCACTTCTCACTCATGGCAGCTGGGGTGGGCAGTATGTAATTTACAATTAATTGAAGGTCTATTTCAGTTCAAACTGCCCACCAGGGTTTCTTCTCCCACTTACTTCCCCCTTCCAAGGATGGTATCTGGGCACAGCCTTGTGGTGTTGGAGCAAGTCCCAGTGTCAACATGCCAACTTCTTTGTGGCTCCCCAGCTGGCCTCTGAGCACTGGCCTCTTCCCTGCCTGCTTTGGCCACTGACATGTCTGGGCTGGGGAACCAGGGGTCAAGGGTGAAAGCCAAGTGTCTGAGCAGGTGGCTAGTGGCTGGTGGATCATTCGCTGATATACAGGGTGCATGTGCAGGAGCTGGTTTGGGGGGCATTGGAAGGTGCTAAAGCTTACAGGGACAGACAAAAGAGTAGAGGATGGGATGAACTGAAGGTCAGCGCCAGGATTTGGCTCTGAGTTGAGTATATGTGAGGCCTCCTTGCCCAATCCTCATCTCTGGGTTTTGCCCAAAGATCCAAGCTTTGAGGGCTTTTGGAGGTCACATCAAATGGAGTCTTTGGGGAGGAATTGCTGCCAATCTGAATTGGGTCCCCTCCATGGAAGAGCTATCCAGAGGGGAAAAGTGGCACACAGAGGGCACGCTTCTGAGTTTTGGTTTTCCCTAAAGCTAGAGCAGAACCTATGGTCCAAAGTCCTGGGATAACCCCTTCTTCCTTTGTTCCTCAGGCCTCAGAGGGCTACAGGTCTATACGCTACACAGTAGAGAAAGACCCAACTACCGTCTCAGGTGCCTGCAGCGGTTGAAGAGACAACCTCAGTTTTCCAGCTTGGGCTGGGACCACATCTCCTGCCCTTGCTCTTGGCAGCAGGGACTGTGGGACTTACGGTTCCAGCCCATCCACATAGGTAACACCTCCTTCCAGTCTCTTGAGGCATCTCCATTATCTCCCACAAGCCTACCCGCCATCCCTCTGGTCACACCTAACCTGTCCCTCCACAGAACCTCACGCCACACCACCCCCCCCACCGCTCCCCCACTGCCCAATCCTGGCATTCTGGGCCTGAGTATCTCTGGACTTGTTGCAGGCTGGTGGGGCCTCGGCAGCAGGCAGCTGTGCAGCTTCTCCTCCTGGCGTGGGGGCGTGTGTTGCAGCTACGGGCCATGGGGAGAGCTTCTCCAAGGCTGGAGAGTGCAGAGTCTTTGGCAGCTTGGTATGTGTGTCCACAGAGATCTGAACCCTTCCTTTGGAGCTCTCTGCTCTTCTCTGTCAGGAAGCAGCCCTGGAATTCACACTAAACAATGGGACCCACAGAATGATGCCTTTTGTCCCCATTCCCTCCAAGTTCCATCCCCTCACTGGCCCTCAATTTCCTGATCTTATAACTTCAGGCAGCTCCTAACATCCCTTCCAGCTGACATCTTAGGGGGTCATGATTGAATGCCTGCCCCACCTCCATTTGACTCCATAGCCCCAGCTCAGAGTGCAGTCATCCTTCTAGGGAAGGAGAGGAGTCTAGTCTGACCCTGTTCCTCTGGACCCATATTAGCAGGCTGTCCAGGGGAAGACATGGAATCATCTACCTCAGAGACTGACTCTTCAAAGGAGCTAGGGGGCACAGGGGGCAGGTAAAAGGTGTCCTCCCCCTCCTCCCTGTAATTGAAGCAGCCTCCACAGTCCCAGACCATCAGCCGTGCCCTCCCACTGCAGCATTTTTAACTCAGCACCCCACCCTTCAAGAAAGAAAGATCTTTATCTCTGACCCTGTGCTGGCACACCTGGGGGCTTGGCTGCAACAAGCCTACAAGGGAAACAGTCACTGGTCGATGGCCTAAAGTTATTGAGCAGGGTGGGATCTGTGCAGAGGTACTCCTGATTCCCAAAGCATCCCCCTGCCACACATCTCACCTTGCCCCATGAACCTTCCATCTGGGTTCTGCAGGTCCTCCACATCCCGTCCCACCCCCATCCCACCCCCACACTTCTCTACATGCTGCTCTTCTCCACAGAGCAAGAAGTGGAGCTGCAGGACTGGTGCTGCCACAGGACTGACCATTCCTCCTTCTGCGCCCTGTACCACCAAAGGCAGCCCCGCATCAGCTGTGCTTGGTACCAGCCCCCAAGGCCCGGTGAGGCGTGAGGCTGCTGGGGCCTGCCCTGGAACCGATGTCCGGGGAAGGGTAGCCTCTGGGGCCTGGACCAGGGCAGAACTAGATTCCTGGGTCAGGGCTGTGGCCACAAGGGAAGGTGACGATGATTCTGGTGTTTAGTGGACAGCAAACAGGGGGATTTTGTACATGGTATTGGGGAAGGCGTGGGAATGGGGGGGTGGGAGTTAATGAGCAGACATAGCTAGGGATGGGGCACAAAAATGCAAGAGGGCTTCCAGGGAGGATTCTAGAAGCCATGCTGGACACCTCCCCAGGCTTCAGTCTTCCTGAGCACACGCCCTGCCTGGGGGCAGTGGGGAACCTCGGACCTTTCCCTTGTCTGCCTTGCCAATGTGGTCTCTCCTTTTTCCAGCCTGGATGTTTGGGGACCCCCACATCACCACCTTGGATGGTGCCAATTATACCTTCAATGGGCTCGGGGACTTCCTGCTAGTCCGGGCCAGGGATGGAAACTCCTCCTTCCTGCTTCAGGGACGCACTGCCCAGACTGGTTCAGCCCAGGCTACCAACTTCATTGCCTTTGCTGCTCAGTACAACACCAGCAGCCTGGATCCCATCACGGTGAGAGAGGCCGAGGGTGTTAGACACACATCCCTGCCCCCGGCCACCACCCACTAGAGAGTCCTCTGGAACCTTCAGCTGGAGATCAAGGCCCAGGAGGAGAAAGAGAAGGAAGAAGGAAAGGGGGCGGGAAGTAGGGAGGATGCCTCCTACCAGTGTGTAGTTTGAGAGTCAACCCCGGAGACACAAGATTAGAGTCCAGACTGCACCAACTATGTGATTAAAGAGATAACTTAACCCCAAGTGCCTTAGTTTTCTTACAGAAATATAGGGATAATAATATTACCTACCCCCGGGGCTGTTGTGAGATGATCTAAGAAATGTGCCTAGCTCAGAACACTAAGCACTCTGTAGATACTAGGTAGAAAAACCTCATCATCACACTTTTTATCACCTTCATCTTTGCCCAGGGCTCAGGTTCTAAGCTTTTTGCAGCCTCCTTTCTCAGCCTCTGGGACCACCTATAAGTCAAGCTTAGTCCTCCTCCAATTTCCTTCCAGATTCAGTGGCTCCTTGAGCCCAATGACACAATCCACGTGTTGCTCAATAATCAGACTGTGATCTTTGAAGATGGAGAAGGTAGGCTGGGGACAGCCGTGAGGGTTCAGAGTGTATCCCATGCCTGGAAGCAGAGTTATGGGGTGTGGAGGCAGCAGCACTGGAGTAGAGGAGGGTAGTGGCCCCCCTGTGCTTGAGCAGCTTCTTCACCCAGCAGCTGGGCATCAAATATTTGGAGGAGGTCACTTCTCTCCTTCTTCCAGTGCTGTGACAGCTTGTCCCCAGGTAGAATTGGTGGTGCAACCCTGGGGGTGTTCTGTATGTTTGGTTTGGGGTCCCTGGAGAAAACACCTGCAGGATATCCCAGAGCTGCTTCCAGTCTTCTCTCTGAGCTTTCATTACTGTCAAGTCTTGGGCCTGCAGGGACTTGAGAGTGGTTTCTTCCTCATCTGTCTCCCTACATTCCAGACCAGGAAATCTTCAATACCACTGGAGTTATAATGAACCGCAATGGCTCCCTGGTGTCAGCCAGCTTAGATGGGACAGTGATCGTCTCAGTGATTGCTCTCTCCAACATCCTCCATGCCTCCTGCAGCCTCCCAGAAGAGTTCCGAAACCGTACAGAGGGCCTCCTGGGTAAGAAGCAGGCAGGACCCTGCCTCTGAGGCAGCAGCCACAACAGGAGCTCAGACCCCCAGGCTCCAGGCAGGCCCCCCTCCCATTGGATGCGGGCATCCCAGGCTGTTTCTTTTTCTCAGCCTCCTTGGAACAGAGTCCTATGGGCACAAAGGCAGGGAAGGTCTGGGACCTCCTCAGCTACCTTTGAGGCCCACTTCCTGTCCTCCTAAAGCTCCACTTGGGGGACAGCCAAGGGAACATCCAGGAAGGGCTCTGAGGAGGGTGGGGCCAGCAGCCATCCTTCTTCTCACTGCCCTTCACACCTTCCCACCCCTCCCTCCATCGCCTCCATTCCCTTCTTCCTTCATTCCTCCTCCCTCCCTGAAGCAGAGGAGTGGGTGCTGAGGTTACGGTCCATCCTCTGCCCTCCTCCTGGAGGACTGAACTAAGAACAGATGCAACAGAAAGAGGCTTCCTGGGCCGCCTGCTCCTCCTCACATCCTGAGTGTGACATGCGGGATTCTCCCCAGGGAATGGGGAGAACCACAGTCCCAGAGGAGCTGACCTCCTACTCTGTCCCACAGGGGTCTGGAACAATTATCCAGGTGATGACTTCAGGATGCCCAATGGCACTGTTATTCCCCAGGGGAGCACTGAAAAGGAACTTTTTCACTATGGAATGACCTGTGAGTCTGGACTTCAGAGTGCTGGGGTATATGGGACAAGGCCAGGTTGTCTCTCTGGTGCCTGTGGGAACCAGTCCTTCATGAGAGAGGGGTGGAAGAGTGAGGAGGAGACACTAAGGATTCTGGTGCCACCCTAGATTTTTCTCCTCTACCCCCTCCCACCCAAGTTTCTCTACCTGAAAGAGAGGACGAGGGAAGTGGGTGGCCCTCAGTCTCCAGAGCAGGGATTTCTAGACTCAGAAGTCAGAAGCCAACCTGTCTTTCCATGCCCTTCTCCCCCACCCCAAGCCATATAAAGTGAGGGTAAGGGGACACTGCAAACATAGCTGGAGTCCCACCCCTGGTACCACCACCATCGAACCTCATGTGTTATAGGGGAAATCAATGGAACAAACCTCCTTGGCAAGAGGGACAACCATCTGCCTTCCAACTTCACCCCAGTCTTCTTTGACCAACTGTTGAAAAACAACTCCGTGACCTCCGGGTGCAATGGAGATTCACAATGTATCTATGACACCCTGGCCACAGGAAATGCAGGAACTGGACAGCATACTAGTATGCTCTGGAGAAGATACCAGGAGATGAACAAAACCCTCAGTAAGTGGCATGAGGCCCAGGGAGGCATTTTCAGAGTTAAGGGACAGATGAGGAGCCCTAAGCTATAAATTTTTTAATTTACAAGAATTTTTAAAAATTATATTTAATTGATTAGGCTATTACAGTTGTTCCATTTTCCCCCTTTATTCCCCTCCACCCTGCATCCCCTGCCTCCCACCAGCATTCCCCTACCTTATATCACATCCATGGGTTGTCCATAAAAGTTCTTTGGCTGCTCCATTTCCTATACTATTGTTAACCTCTCCTGTCTGTTTTGTACCTACCATTTATGCTTCTTATTCCCTGTATCTTTTCCCCCATTCTCCTCCCTCCTCCTCTCTACTGACAACCCTCCACGTGATCTCCATTTCTGTGATTCTGTTTCTGTTCTAGTTGTTTGCTTAGCTTGTTTTTGGTTTTGTTTAGGTTCAGTTGTTGATAGTTGTGAGTTTGTTGTCATTTTACTATTCATAGTTTTTATCTCCATCTTTTAAAGTCCCTTTAACATTTCATATAATGAGGGTTTGGTGAACTCCTTTAACTCGACCTTATCTGAGAAGCACTTTATCTACCCTTCCATTCTAAATAATAGCTTTGCTGGATAGGGAAATCTTGGATGTAGGTCCTTATCTTTCATGACTTGGAATACTTCTTTCCAGCCCCTTCTTGCCTGCAAGGTTTCTTTTGAGAAATCAGCTGATAGTCTTATGGGAACTCCTTTGTAGGTAAATGTCTCCTTTTCTCTTGCTGCTTTTAATATTCTCTCCTTATCTTTAATCTTGGGTAATGTCATGATGACGTGCTTTGGTGTGTTCTTCCTTGGGTCCAACTTCTTTGGAACTCTCTGAGCTTCCTGGACTTCCTGGAAGTCTATTTCCTTTGCCAGATTGGAGAAGTTCTCCTCCATTTCTTACTCTTCCTCTTCTCCTTCTGGCACTCCTATGATTCAGATGTTGGAATGTAAGGTTGTCCCAGAGGTTCCTAAGCCTCTCCTCATTTTTAAAAAAAATTTGTTTCTTCGTTCTGTTCCAGTTGAATGTTTATTTCTTCCTTCTGCTCCAAATTGTTGATTTGAGTCCCAGTTTTTTACCTTTCACTGTTAATTTCCTATGTATTTTTCTTCATTTCACTTTGCATAGCCTTTACTTTTTCCTCTATTTTGCAACCATACTCAACCACTTGTGAGCATCCTGATTAGCAGTGTTTTGAACTCTGCATCTGATAGTTTGGCTATCTATTTGTCACTTAGTTGTTTTTCTGGAGTTTTGATCATTCTTTCATTTGGACCATGTTTCTTTGTCTAAGTGCACCTGTTATGTTGTAAAGGGCAGAGCCTTAGGTATTCACCAGCATGGGGCAACCCACTTCACTGTGTTATGGTGCTGTATGTGGGAGACAGAGCTGAGAGGGAACAATGCTGCTTGCTGGGCTCTTAGACGGCTTTCAGTCATTTTCTCTGCTACCCCGAAGCAAATTGGGCCTTTCTAGTTCTGATTCCCAGGTGGGTGATTTTGTGTATGTTTTAGGACCCTGTGGGTCACTCCAATGAACTTTCCTGTGAGGCTGGGAGTTTGTCCCACCACTGCAATACTCACAGATTTTTATAGCCAGAGGTTTTGAGGCTTTCTTTCTCTGTGCTGGAACCCTGGGTTGTGTTGTCTGTCTCACTCCCCCCATTGTTCCTCCTGGGTTATCCTAACACAAATGTGGGACTGCTGGTCTGCCAGCCTCCACCTAACGGTCCTAGTCCTCTGGCTGTCACTTTGTCTTGTGTCCTCTCTGGCCTGGCTGCCCATCTCTGCCCCTCCTACCAGTCTAGATGAATGTTTCTTCTTTAACTCCTTGGCTGTCAAACAGTTCAATTTTCTGGCAGTTCTGGTTGCTTTTTGTTTTGAAATTTGTTGTTGTCTTTCTTTTGGTTGTGCAAGGAGGCAAAGTGTATCTACCTACACCTCCATCTTGGCTGGTAGATTTTTTTTTTTTTGACTCATGCTATTCATCTGCTCAAACCCTCTCATGACTCACAGTTTTCAGCCCTCTTCCAAAGGTAAAACTCTGTTATGGTCTCAACAACCCTGTTTTTGGATTCAGCTCATACCAACCCCAGCATAATGTTCTGATCAGGAAAGAACTTGAGATGAATCTTGTTTGATGAAAAGATAAAGGGAAAATAAAGATGTGGCTATGAGGGCAATATTACTCTAACCTGCTCTTCATAGGTCGGAGAGCAGATACAAAGAATAATTCCTGCTTCTAGAGGTGAGTCACAGTCTTATGAATGCCTCACACAGATGAGAAGTCTAAAGAAGGAAGAAGGAGGCCTTCAAGGCTAGAGAGTATCCTGCCTCAGGCCCCAAGCCCCCTCTTTGTGTTCCAGATCAGAACCCGCCCTCTATCAATGGTTTCTCAGAACTGAAAGCCTACATGGGGAACACCACACTGATTCACTACAAAAGCAGCTCTAAGGATGTTACATTCACTCTCAGAAACAACAACACTGATGACTTCAAGCTTTTTGGTAAGGATGCTTGACTGGGGCCATAAGAGATGAGCCAGAGTCAAACTTTGGATAATTTTGCATTATTATACCCTGTGAAACTTCATGTCAGTTTTCCATTTGAATATCTGGGATCAGCATTGCTTAGGAATGACTCCTATAGTTTAAATAGGTACCTACCCCCACAGTGATGGCCAGCTAGCTAGACTGATCAGCATGTACAACTGATCATTTCATCTCAGTCTGATAATATGCAATCACCTTTACTCATCTCTTTGTGTAATCACCAGATTATTAGAATAAAGTGTAACAACTAATACTAATTTAAGACATTTTCATATCTACCTTTTAAAAGGATATAATGTGCAACAAGATTTAAAGAAATACAAATAACATCAGTTGGACCATTTGTCACTGCTTTTATGTTTTTCAACCATGTTTACCTAACTTTGTCTCTCTTTGTCTGCTTTTCTGTGTTAGGACAAAGCAGGGCTTCATCTCTCTTTCTCGGCAATGGTGTGGAGACCCCCACACCGGCAGCTTGACTTCTGCTGCCAGTACTAATTTGCTGGTGACCATTTTTTGCTAAACCGAAGCCCTTAGTTACCTTATTCTGAGCACCTCTCTGCCTCATTTTCTTTCTCTGGGCACAAGAAGGGATTGCTTTGTCTGTACCCTTTTACTCCATGTGGCATCTTCCCAGGGGCTAGGCAATAGCATCAGGAGATTTTCTCCTCCACTGGATGCTTCTCCTGGAGAGTGATGGCCTGGGAGTTACTCTTGTCTTTTCTTACTATCAGCTCCTCTTAACTTGCTGTTTAAGAAGACTTTCCTATTTTCTTGAAAAATATAAGGTAGGTTTGGTCAGAAGAGTCCTTATTGGTATGTAGCAGTGTTTTTACTGCAGTCTGGTGTCTGAAGGGGTGGCTAGTCAAAGGCCCAGGAAGTGAGAGAAATGGGTGAGACAGCAGGGCAAGGGATGGAGCTGCTGTGAAGGTGAAGCCAGTTTGGTCTGCAGTGTAGCCTGGGGATGTATCAGGAGGATCCTGACCTTCCTCCTCCATTCCCCACCCCTGGATGTCCCATCCTGTGCGGGCCTAGGCAGGTTGCCCTTTGGGAGTTTCTTCAGGAAGCAACAGCCTTCCCCTTTATGGAGTTTCACCCTACTGTCAGTTAGTTGGTCTAGTGTTACCTCCATCTCGGAGCATGTCCAGGATCACCCCAAGAAATCAGCCTTGCTCAAGGAAATTCCTGATGAGGTTTGAGGGGTGGCCTGAGAGAGGTGGCAGATATCTAGCATCAGCTCTCAGGGTGTTAGATGCTGAGGTGGGTCAGATGGCAGAGAAGAAAAGGCTTCTTCTTCTCTCAACAATCTCATCTTCCCTGGGGCAGAGAATGGAACATTGCAATGGACACCACGCTCGCTGAAACCATTCACTCTGGAGATTCTAGCGAGAAATGTCAAGAACAACTTATCATCTTTACTTCAGCCAAAGACTGTGGTCTGTGCTTGTAAGGAAAAGAAACAGTGCTTATACAACCAGACCAGCTGGGTGGGCAATTCCTCCTTGGAGGTGAGTGCTGGGAGGTGGGTGAGAAAGAGGTTTTCCTTTTGACGGGAAAAGAGGTGGGAATTGAAGGGATGTCATCAGTCCCTCTGTGGTATGTCTGTGTTGGGAAGTGGGTGGAGCTATGGTAGGTGACTAGAATAGATACCAATCTCAGGCCACAAGCTTATTTGTGTGAGAAATGGAACTCTCTTTATTGCTTGTAGCTCAGCTGAATTTCTATCTCCCAGCTCCCATTCTGCCAGGCTGGCAGGAAACTTCTGCCTCAGGTATTCTTAGTGGTTCCCAGCTCCATGTTTCTGGAACAAGCACTGAGGTGTGGGGTAGGAAGGTATGGTCCTTGGGCATGAGTCTACACTGATCACAAGCTCCATACCTGCTCCTCTTCAGACCCAGGCTGGTGCTCTGCAGTTCTGTGCCTTGCTCAGGCACAGGGAATCTTTTATAAGGTGGCTCCATGTCCTGAAGAGCCATTTTTCTCTGGGCTCTCGTCATCATGGTGCTGAGAAGAGAGGTGGGGGGAACCCAGGGGCTAGAAAATGGAAAAAACATAGAAAGTGAGGAAAAAGGGGTTAAAGTCAATATATTATCCTAGATATCCCAAAATATCCAGTTTCAGAAAGGGAGAGTGTTGGAAGAGTTGCTATTCAGGGAGATTTCCAGAGTCATCTCAGTAGAGGGGTCAGAAAAGAGAGACCAGGGAGCTTCATGAGGTTTCCAGAACCGTACCTTCCCTGTGCCATTGTTCTGGTTACACGTGTTCTCATTGTGCTGAGCAGTGAGGCTCTGTCTTCCTGGTTTGGGAGTCAACAAGGGAAGAATGTGCAGGAAACAGGGGATGCAGTTTTCAAGGGATAGTAGAATATTTATTTAGGTATTTAGCCCACATCTTACTCTAGAAAGGATTTCAGGCAAGGAGACATGGTGTGAGAGGGAAGAGGCTGAGAACCTGGGGTATAAGACTTTGGGGGAAAGAATGGCCCAGGGAGGTGAGTGGGCTAGAGGACTGTGTACCTTTGGGCAGGGATGTGCCAGCCCAGGGCCAGGTCAAGAGGGTACTCAGTAGACACTGGCAGAAATAAGACAAGGACTCAGGATCCATGGGTTCTCAGACAGGAGGAGTCAGTACTTAAACACCCAGATGCCCTTAATGGTTCAGCCTCCTGGCCACCCAGTGATCAGCAACCCATTTCAGGTGGCCGGTTGCAAGTGTGACGACAACAATTTTGGTCACTACTGTGAACGCTCCAAGGACCTCTGTGATGAGCAGTGCTTCCCGAATGTGAAGTGCATACCTGGGCAGGGCTGTGAGGCTTGTCCTTCAAACCTAACTGGGGATGGACATCACTGTGCACGTAAGCTGGGAACAGGGCCCTGGCAGAGAAAGGTTCTGGGGAAAGCTAACAACTGGAAGGTCTAGGACAGCCACAAGCACACCATTTCTCTCCCTTTTATAGCAAGTATTTAGAATGATCAACATAGTTGGGTGTGGTAAGGAGGTAAGGTAGGCATGCTGGGTGTGAGGCTGAAGGAGAAGAGATTGGGAGAGTCAGGGCAGAGCAGCCCTGAGACATCGATGGGGACAACCCAGGACAAAAGATTGAAGGTGGCCTAGAGAAGAGAGGAGACTTCTGGCAGAGCCAGCGTACAAGAGGCAAGCTGGGCCCTCAGATTCCTTGGGGTCTTCTGAGTTGCAAGACCAGGAGTCTCTGTACCTGCACCCCTCCCCCCCCAAGTTAGGACACTTGGAGGGACTGTCATAGACATCTGGCAGAAGATGTCCTCATTTTTCCTTTGAGTCCTCCTCCAACCAACTGTTCCTTGACCTCTGAGCCATTGGAATCATGATGAGGGAAATCACAAAGAGGTCTCTACTCAACCCAAGTGAAATATGAACACTGGCCAGAGTGGATAGAACCACAGCTTTATAAAGGCAGAAAAGGAGACAGAAGTGGGGAAAGTCTTCTGGGTCCTTTCCTGATTTACAGGGTCTGATAAACAACTCTCTTCCCTGAGAAGTGGGAGATACCTGCCTAGTAAAGGAATAGGGGTTTCCAGTATAGAACTTGGAAAAGGGAGAAGGATAGTTTGGGGTTCAGAGTGGCCTACAAGCAGAATGTAGATTGTGCAGGCTTTGGGGGAAGGACACCAAGCCTGCCCTGGGAGCAGGTTTCATGGTAGGTGATGGGCAGAGGGGAGGGGGGCTCCCCACTGATGTCCAGCATGGTGTTGCTGACCTCTGCTCTCTCTGTAGCTCTGCAATACTATGACCTCTGTCAGAATACATCCTGCCCTGTGAATCATTGCTACAACCAAGGCCACTGCTACATCTCCCAGGCTCTGGGCTGCCAGCCCACCTGCACCTGCCCCCCAGCCTTTACAGATGCCCGCTGCTTCCTGGCTGGGAACAATTTCACTCCAACCCTCAAGTCAGGTATCACTAGATGCCTCCACCATCCTCGCTGCCACTCTTCTCACTTGGGAGAAGATGGGACTACTCTAAGGGGCCAGGGCAAAGCTCCTCAAACTCATAGGAGAGAACTCCAAATTTCATTTGGGTGATAGTATGTTGTGTGGGCCATGGGAGTGGGTCGGGGGAGCTGTCCCAGCATGAACCATGGGCCTGAGTGATCTTATGAGAAAAGACTGAAGGTGACCTTATGGCTCGGTGAGAAGAGAGTCAGGGAAGCCCTGATCATAGTCAAGTGAGCTCTCAGGTGAGGGTCAGCAGACTCAGCCACTTCTGATTCCTCTCGTGATCTATCAGTATAGAATAGGACTGTCTCCCTGGACTGGCCCAATGGTCTTTTTGGTAAGTCTGGGTAAACCCATGAGATGATCATGAATCTGTTTCTCCCATCTCCAGAGTTTCCATTAAGAACCATCCAGATCTTTCTCAGTGAAGAAGAACATGCCTCTGTAGAAGAGGTCAACGCCTCGGTCAGTACTGCATACAGCTCTGAGTGGGGAGGAAGACCTTGGCAGGTTCTGGGCCAACAGAAGTGATGGTCTTAGCCATCACTTGTGCATTCTGTAGTTTTATCATCCATCTAGATCCAATTACCAGAGGAGATGGGAGTCTCCTGCCTCAGGAAAGGCCAGGGGTAAGGAAGGCAGGAAGTCTCAGGACAGAGACCTCTGAGGGGGTTGGAATGGCCAACTAGAAATGAGCAGAATCTAGGGTGGCCGAGTCACCCCAGCCTTTCTTTCTGAGAGTGCCTTGAGAGCTGCATTTGGGTGTTATATAGAAGAAACACAAGAAGGACTTTCACCTCCAGAAAGCCTTCTCTGACTCCCAAATGGACCTGGGGGCTCCTTCTTCCTGACTCCCATCCCCTGATATGATCTCAGTCACGGGCAGAGTAGCACAGTGGTTGAATTACTAAGGCTCTAGAATCGTGCATACCTGGGTTTCAAACCCAGGCTCTGCCACACATTAGACAAGGTACAATAATTAGAAAAATTATTTGATGTCTCATCTATAAAAATAGAAATAATAATCATACCTGTATTGATGGGTTGTGTCAAGGTTTAAATGATAGTGCATGTAAAGTATTAAGCATGGTACCTGAAACACAAGTGTTCAAAGAAAATTAGAATAATAATTACTACTACTACTACTTAGCACTCTACAGTCTGGTAAAACCTGGGGACATTTGTTTACTGCACCAGACTATTGATCTTTGAATATGGACACTCCCCTAGGTCTGGATAAACGATCTATGTTCAGTATACATGTGGGGAGAGAATGAGTGGGCGAGTCAGGGGTCAAAGGCAAGGTGGAGGCCATTCATTTTAGGTTATCCCCTTGTAATAGGAGGCTGGGGTGGGAGGAGGTTTGTAAAGTCCTTCATTTACCAATAAACCTTTATTTAGCAAGAACCCATGCCAGTGACAGGCTAGGCTGGGGCGTTAGGATGCAGAAATGGACTAGATGGGGTCATGGGGCTCAAAGATGGAAACAGCCAGGGTTGAGTAAATACAGTAAAATGGGAGATGTCTCCACTCTGAACTCAGCCTCACCCCACCCCACTATCCCCAACCATCTGCCTTAGGTGGCCTATAGACTGGAGAACCTGGATGTGCAGGCCTTTGTAACGAACAGTGAAGTGAAAAAAATGTAAGTGGGATAGTTCCCATTGGGTCCCTGAATCCTCCATCTTACCCCTCACCTCTTAGTTCCTCACTCTGCCTCTTTCACACAGTGATCCTCCAGTAGCACTGACCTCAGAAAAATCCCAACAATGGAGGGTCATATCGAAGTTCCAATACCGCCCTTGGGGTCCTGTCATCGACTTCCTGAACACCCAGCTGCTGGATGCAGTGGTGGAGGCGTTTTTACTACAGGCCCCACAGGGGAGGTGGAAGAGAAGTGAGGGGCCCAGGAACAACGTCGTCTTCAACACCATCTCTAGAAGAGATGTGCACAGTTTGATGGCATGTGAGTCACTACTGTCTTGGGGACACTCACAAGGATAGTTGAGGGAGGAGGTAAACGGAGGGAACTTGTCACAGATAGCCTACAGAAAACCATGGTTTAAAAAAGTATTCTACTTGCAAGAAGCAAGGTAATTTAGTTTTGTTTGTAGTTTTTGAGGAATTGTAAACATTTCACCCACTAGCTGTCTAGATTTAAGAGCAAGAGCAAAAAATACTACTTGACGACTACTCATGTGCATAGTTTTACAGAGCAATTACCCCAACTGCTGCCTTCCTAACCTCTGCTGCTAATGGTTTATATTCCTTTAATAAAATTATTAGTGATTTTTTAGCATTTTAAAAAAGATTTTATTTATTTATTTTTAGAGAGAGGAAAGGGAGGGAGAAAGAAATATCAGTTAGTGGTTGCCTCTCATGCATTCCCTACTGAGGACCTGGCCAGGAACCCAGGCATGTGCCATGACTGGGAATCAAGCTGGCAGCCCTTTGGTTCACAGGCCAGTGCTCAGTCCACTGAGACACACCAGCCAGGGCTGTTAGCAATTTTATTAAAGTACCACTGTACTTTATATACATAAACAAAGATATCCTTTTGCCTTTGTCCTATGGCTGGAGGACATTAAGCTGAAGACCCAGCCCAAGGGCAGAGATATCCCCTCCCTGAAAGGGTGTGTGATCCTTTGCAAAAGCCATCCCCAGTCCTGGCCTCAGGTCTCCCATCTAGAAAATGAGATAGGATTTCTGAGGTCCCTTTCAGCTCTGACATCCCTTGACTGTGCCAGAACAGGGATGAAATAAGTTGACAACCTTGTCAGAGAAGGAAAAAAATAGCCCAACCTATTTTGGACTGAGACAGAGAACAGGGCAGTGACCAGGCCAAATCCAACAGAGGCCCTTGTGTTGCTCAGGTCCAGGAGCAAGCAAGAGCTTCTTCGAGAATGCAGGCTCAGTCTCATCCCTCCTGGGGACGATGACAGGAAATCCTCCAAATTACTATGAGTATGTGTGGTAGAGGAGTAGGGTTGAGGGTAAGGGAACAACTACCCCAGACAAGACTACACGTTTTGTTCAAGAAAACAAACAGAACCCCATAGTTTTTATTACACAGGTACTATATGTTTATTTTATAAACTTTAGGAAATAAAAATTTACAAAAAGAAGAGAAAAAAATCACCTGTATTTCCAATCCCCAGAGACAAATCCATTTTGCACATATCCTTCTGATTTTTCTTTTATGCATAAGCACCTTCACACATATCAAATTTTTTTACAGTAAAGGGTTCAAATCATACCAAATTTTTCATAACCTTATTAAACAATTGTGAACACATTATATTGAATGTTGTGTGAATATTCCCATTTAAAATATTATTTTATGATATATTTTAATGTGGTGTGGTATAATATATTTTAAATAGGATATTATACTAATCGTGACTGTTAATTTGGTACTTACTATGTCATGCACTATACTGAATACTCTCATATATTATCTGATTTAAACTTTCTCAGCAAGGTAGGTGCTATTAACATTTTTTTTTAAGATAAAGAAACTAAGACTAAAAGAATTAAGAAATTTCCCCAAATCACACAACTAGTTAGTAGTAAAGGTTGAATTTCAACTCAGGCCTGGCTGACTTCAAAGCATACACTCTTAACCAATCATTGCCCATACTGGTGCTTAATGGTTGCACAATATTCCTTGTTGAACAAAACTTAAACATTGTTAAACATTGTTAAACATTGTTACTGTTTAAATCATACTGCTCTGGACATCCATGAACATAAGTATTTGTGTACTCTTCCAATTATTTCTAAGAATAAATGGCTAAAATGGAATTCTTGGTCAACAAGGTATAGATTTGGTTTTAATCAATTGCTTTCCGTGTTCATCTGTGTCTTACCTAACAGTGAACGTGAGCACGCTGCAGCGTTACCTAAAGTGCAATGGCTACGAGGGCTACAAACTGGTCTACAGCCCGCAGGGCGGCTTCACTTGCATGTCCCCCTGCAGTGAGGGCTACTGTGAGCACGGAGGCCAGTGCCAGCACCTGCCCGATGGGCCCCACTGCAGGTGAGTGGCGCATGAGGCAGAGGGCAGTGCTGGGGAATCCAAGCTGAGCAAAGACACTGCAAAGGGTCCGGAAAAATCATGGCACCTGGAAATTATGACGGTTCCCTTTGTAACTGAGAGAATGAGGATTAAGAGAAAAGGGGATAATGTGAAAGAAAAGGTGCGAGCGCCTACTCTGCATGGAGAATAAAGGTGCTATATTACCTCTGAAACTCAAATTGGCCGCTAGGTAAGTATTATGACTATTTTAAAGATGAGAAAACTGCAGTTCAGAGATGAGGGCCCTGCCCAAGGTACCCAGTAAAGTTAAGTACCAGGATATGTGCTCCAAAGTCAAACTCTTCCACCTGATTTTCCTTCTTGGGTGGACACCATGCTGTCTCCTTGTGGGAAAAAGGAACCCTTTATCTTGTGCCCCTTCTTAAGAGTGCCAGGCATGGGAGGCCCTCTCAGACTGGTGCCTTAAGTCCTGTTGACCCATCAACAGTCTGAGGGGTTCCAGGTGAGGAAAATGCACTAAGTCTGTAGGCCTGGTAAGAAGGGCAGCGTCACCTGGGCGCTTTTGTCACAGCAGTGCCCTCTGCCTACCCTCACTCCCCTACAGCTGCAGGCTGACTTGCCCTCTCCCGAGAAGGCGGGGGATAGAGCCAGGGCATGGGGTGGCGGAGAGCGCAGGGCCGAGCTTTTCCCGGCTGGAGAGGGGTTTGCGACTGCGCATGCTCACCTGTGCCTAGCCCCTCGCCTCCCCCTGCTCGGCTGATGCTGACCTCACGTTAATTGGCACCGCATCTGCTTTGCACGGTGGCTGCTCTTCAGCCCCACCTCAGGGCTAACCCGGCCTCTTTCCGTAAAGGGGAGCCCAACCTCAGGAATCGAAAACCTCAGGTCCCGCCGCAAGAGAGGGTGGCAAGGCTGAGCGCCGGCTTCCCCACTACTGACTGTGTCCCCTCTCTCTGTCCCCAGCTGTGTGCCCTTCTCCATCTACATGACCTGGGGCAAGCACTGTGAGCACCTGAGCATGAAACTCGGCGCCTTCTTCGGGATTCTCTTTGGAGCCTTGGGCGCCCTGTTGCTACTTGGGGTCATAGCGTTTGTGGTCCTGCACTTCTGGCGCTCCGGGATCCAGTACTCCTACCCCCTGGACTCGGAAAACTGAAGCCTCGCTCCAAGGAGCTTAGCTGTGCCTTAAGATACCTCAAGACCCTCCCCAGCCTCACCTGCATATTTCCAGGCGCCTGTCCTTTGGACAGATTGGAAAAAGGAAGATGACTGAAGGCGATGAAGGATTCTTCAAGGAAAATGAATAATGGGAATGAATAATGATAAAGATGAGCACAACTTATCAGTAGACACAGAGGTGAACTGGAAAAGATTAAAGATCTACTACATAAACCAATGGATTCTCACAAGGAGGGCACACACACACACACACACACACACACACACAAGTTAATAATGGGGCGATGGCTCCAACTTAAAAGCCGAAATGCATTTGCACATAAAACTCTCCAGTTTACTTCTAAGTCGAGTCTATTTAAATAAAATCTCTCTGACTTACTATGTTTGCAGAGCCTTGGGTTCCTTTTGTTGTTTTCCTCTGTTGGCTAAAAGGCCGGGCACTGGGGGTGGAGGAGCAGAGGTGGGTTAGACCCAGTCCTGCTTCAGCTCTCACTACTCCTCATTCCTCCAGCCTGGACTTGGATCCTTACTTCTCCCTCCACATCACTTTCTTCCCCTCACCCCAACCCAAGCCAGAGCCTGGCCCTCTGAAGGACTATAGTGATACCTCCCATACTTGGTCCTTTCCTGGACTCTAGGCAGAGTCTTCTGAGCTTCTCCACCCCACGGTCCCTCAGCACCACTCTGCTTGTTCCCAGCAACCAGATCTGTTTCTACCTCATCCTTCTCTCTTTGTAGACAGAACTTCACACCTTCCTCATGCAACAACTCCTACAACTGGTCCACAACTCCTGTGTCTCCCAGACCTCAATTCCAACTCTATGCAGAAACTGGGTAACTGCCTCCTGGTCCTAAACACCAAATCCCTGAAGAGATAATCTGATTGATCCAAATTATGTCAATTTTTCATCTCTGGTCCAATCTAGTGTGGCCCTAGGGTAGGAAAGAGGGTCCCACGTTACAAACCTGGTGCTCAGGCTCACTCTTGTAGATGAGTGAGTAGTGGTGTTGGAAGAAGTTCCCACAGAAACTTGGTCTTTAGGAGGTATAGCTCAGTGGTAGAGCATTTGACTGCAAAACCTTGGTCTTTGATCTGAGCAGTGCTCCAAACTCTCTGCTTTAGATAGAGAATGGCTTCTCCCACCAGGTGAAGCACCTCTCGTGTGTACAAAGCTGTAGCTTTAACCTGAAACGTCCCAAAATGTAATCATATCTCCATATAAAACCACATTCATTTAACCCCCATATTCATTTATCAATTAAGCACAGAGCCCAAATGGGCTCACTGTGAAGTCTACCAAACATTTCAGGAAGAAATTCTACCAATTCTCTATAATCTCTTTCAGAAGTTTGAAGCAAAAGGAATATTTCTTAACTCATTTTATAAGGCCAGCATTATTCTAATACCAAAGCCATCAAATCTAATGAGACATTAATACCTGATAAGACATCATAAGAAAAGACTTTTGGCCAAAATGGCGGTTAGGTAGACACTCTGTGCCCCCTTGCATAACCAAAAGAAGGACAAAACAAATTTAAAAACAAAGAACAACCAGAACTGACAGAGAACCAAACTGTATGAAAATCTGACAACCAAGGAGTTAAAGAAGAAGCATTCATCCAGACCAATGGGAGGGGCAGAGGCCAGTAGCTGGTGGAAAGGACTTGCAGCAAGGCAGTGGCTTTCAGACTGGGCAGTCCCACATTAGAGTGCAGATAAACTGGGAGGAACAACTTGGGAGTGAGACAGACCACGCACCCAGTATTTCCAGTACGGGGAAATAAAGCCTCAAAGCTTCTATCTGAAAACACCTGTGGGGGTTGAGGCAGCTCTGGGAGAAACTCCCAGCTTCACAGGAAAGTTTTTTAGAGAGATCCACAAGGTCCTAGAATGTACACAAACCCACCCACCCAGGAATCAGCACCAGAAGTGCCCAATTTGATTGTGGTTAGCAGGGAAGTGACTGAAACTGGCAGAGAGCGGAGCAAGCCCCGGTGTTTCCTCCTGGACCCCTCCCCCACACAGTGTCACAATGTAGTGTTGTGGGTTGCCCTGCCCTGGTGAATACCTAAAGCTTCCACCCCCTACTACTAACAGGTACACTGAGACAAGAAAAGAAAATGGCCCAAATGAAAGGACAGATCAAAGCTTCAGAAAAAATACAACTAAGCAACAATGAGATAGCCCAATCTATCAGATGCACAGTTCAAAACACTGGTAATCAGAATGCTCACAGAACTGGGTGAATATGGTAGCAAAATACAGGAAAAAATTAAGGCTATGAAAAATGAAATAAAAGAAAATGTACAAGGAACCAACAGTGATGGGAAGGAATCCGGGACTCAAATCAACAGTTTGGAGCAGAAAAAAAGAAAGAAATATTCAACCTGAACAGAATGAAGAAATAAGAATTCAAAACAATGAGGAGAGGCCTCAAATGAAGACCTCCATGGCATCTTTAAATGTTCCAACATCTGAATCATAGGGGTTCCAGAAGAAGAGGAGGAAGAACAACAAATTAAAAATTTATTTGAACAAATAATGAAGGAGAATTTCCCCAATCTGGCTAAGGAAATAGACTTCCAGGAAGTCCAGGAAGCTCAGAGAGTCCCAAAGAATTTGGACCCAAGGAAGAACACATCAAGGCACATCATAATAACATTACCCAAGATTAAAGATAAAGGGAGAATCTTAAAAGCAGCAAGAGAAAAGGAGACAGTTACCTACAAAGGAGTTCCCATCAAACTATCAGCTGATTTCTCAAAAGAAACCTTGCAGGCAAGAAGGGGTTGGGAAGAAGTATTCAAAGTCATGAAAGGTAAGGACCTACATCCACAATTACTCTATCCAGCAAAGCTATCATTTAGAATGGAAGGGCAGATAAAGTGCTTCCCAGATAAGGCCAAGTTAAAGGAGTTCATCATCATCAAACCACTATTATAAGGAATATTAAAGGGACTTATCTAAGAAAAAGAAGGTAAAAATAATGAACAGTAAAATGACAACAAACTCACAGCTACTAACAACTGAACCTAAAAGCAAACTAAGTGAACAACTAGAACAGGAACAGAAATGGGGATCACATGGAGGGTTATCAGCAGGTGAGTGGAAGGAGGAAAGAGGGGAAAAGGTACAGGGAATAAGAATCATAAACGGTAGGTACAAAATAGACAGGGGGAGGTTAAGAATAGTATAGGAAATGTAGAAGCTGAAGAACTTATATTTACGACCCATGGCCATGAACTAAAGGGGAGGAATGTGGGTGGGAGGGCATGTGCAGGGCAGAGAGGAATAAAGGGGGGGGGGAATAGGACAACTGTAATAGCAAAATCAATAAAATACATTTTTAAAAGACATCATAAGAAAACTATGCACCAATGGCTCTCATGAATATAGGTGCAAAAAATCCTCTACAAAAATATTACCAAATCAACTCTAACAATGAATAGAAAGAATTATACATCACGAGCAAATAGTATTTATCCTACATATGCAAGCCTGCCTGGTTCAACACACAAAAAACAATTAATGTAATCTATCACATCAACTGACTAAAGAAAAATTATATGATCACATCAAGAGATGCAAGAAAAAGCATTTAACAAAATCAAATGTCCATTTATGATCAAAACTCTCAGCAAACTAGGAACAGAAGGGATATTCCTCAGGCTGATAAAAACAAAAATATGTATGGTGTTATATGGGTTCTAGACTTATGGGGTGATCACACCATAAGTAATATAAATGTCTAATTATTATGTTGTACACCTGAAACTAATATATTGTATGTCAACTGTAATTGAAAAATTAAATTTAAATCTACAAAAAAAACGAAAGCTATTATCATACTTAATGGTGAGAAACTCAAAACTTTTCAGCTAAGATTAGGAACAAAGCAAGGATGTCCCTTTCCAACCCGGTATGTTGTTGAAAAGAAAAATCTGAATTGCTTTTCAACATCATACTTGGAGTCCTAACTAAGTCACATACCAAAAAAGGGGGGAGGATAAAAGATATACAGATTGGGAATGAAAAATTAAAACTGTCATTGTTTACAAATGACATGATCATCAATATAGAAAATCTGAAACCAATAGTGATTTTAGCAAGGTTGTAGGATACAAGGTTAATATATGGAAGTCAATTGCTCTGTTATGTAACAACAATAAATAAATAGAATTTGAAATTACACATTACCATTTACATTAGCAAATCCCAGAATTAAATACTTAGATATAAATCTAACAAAATATTTATATCCATATAAAGAAAAACTACAAAAGCAATGAAAGATGTCAAAGAACTAAGTAGATGAAGATATATTACATGTTAATGGATAGGAAGACTCAATATTGTTTAGATGTTAGTTCTTTCCAACTTGATTTATAGATTCAGTGCAATTGAATCAAATCTCAGCAAGATTTTTTGTAGATATTGACATACTGGTTTTAAAGTTTATTTGAAGAGTCAAAAGACCCAGAATAACCAACTCAATATTGAAGAAGAACAAAGTCAGAGGACCAACACTACTCAACATCAAGGCTTACTCTCAATATTTTATAAGCTGCAGTAATCAAGACAATGTGATATTGGCAAAAAATATATATACACAGATAGATCAATGGAGCAGACTAGAAAGCCCCAAATTAGACCCACATAGATATAATGAACTGATCTTTGATGAAGGGGCAAAGGCAACACAATGAACAAAGGTAGCCTTTTCAACAAATGGTATCAGAATAACTGAACATCTTCATGCAAGAAAATGAATCTGGACACAGATCTTACAGTTTTTACAAAGATTAACTCAAAATGGATCATAGAATGAAGCATAAAACACAAAGCACAGATTATAGACCTAAATTTAAAACTCCTAGAAGATAACATGGGAGAAAATGTAGATGACCTTGGTAATGGTGATGACTTTTCAGGTACAACAACAAAGATATGATCCATGAAAGAAAGAACTGATAAGCTGGACTTCATTAAAATTAAAATCTTCTCCTTTGTGACAGACAATGTCAAG